ACCAGGTAGCAGAACTTAGCTGGGTGAAGTGCATTTTGAACACAAGCCAATATGGAAAATGAACATTTCATTCCAATTTTCTTCATCCTAAATGGTGTACAAAAATGTCCATGTTTTCATTGCGAAAAGAACATTTTTCCTAAGCACATACAGAGACATCTCTCAAATTAGTGCCTTAGAAGGCAATGCGAGAATTACGGGAACCTAGCAACTCGAAAGGAGTAGGTAGAGAAGATGTAAGTTCCTAGGTGAGTAGTGTGGTACATGGGCCTCGGAATCGTAAGCTTATAGTTCTAATTTCATCTTTTCCACTCATTTACTTCTGACCTTGAGAATGTCTGGCCGCCTTTAATCATTCCGTGCCTCAGTTTCCATATCTGTCACTTAGAATAAGATAATCCTGGATGAGTGCCCAAGATTGTGAGAACATACTGATTAGAGCCATAAAAATAAAATCTGTACTAAAAATGCAAAACATTCTAGTTGCTAGATGTCCTGACTTAAGGTGGAAACATTAACAAGAGTCATTCCTTTAAAAATAAAAATGTGAATGCTTTAGGAAGCCCATCTAGCAGCAAGAAAATTAAACCAATAATGCTATTATAAGGGCTCCTAGTTCCAGGGATACAGAAGCAAAACTTGCAAACAAGTTCTAGCTTTGCCAAGGAAGCACTGGGTAACCTTGAGCAATTTCTTAACCTCCTGTAGTATCCTCCTTTGAGAAGATGATTACAAACGCAGATTGGTTCTTTTGAGACAGTGGAAAACGTTGAATTCTCAGCCACTGTGTACTTTGCCACTAGTAATTTTTTGTATTGCAATTGTCTGTTAAGAAAACTAGTCAGCCAGAGCAAGGAATTTGTTAAAGCTGCTACTTATTGAGTATTACTACACTGCACTGCTCTATACACATATTAAGCACTTTACAGAGTCTCTTGCACTCCTCACAAAGCCCTAACCTATCACTGCTGCACAAGTGGGGGTTAGAGTAAAACTAGGCTTCATGGCTGCTTCCATTGTAACCACCTTGCTTGTTTTTCTCAGCTGCACCTAAATGAGTCTTTGAGTATTATTTTAAGGCACCTTAAAATGTCAAGACTAAAGTAAAACCTGACAGTATGTTTATATAACAGGTTTTGGTTGTATTACCCTATACCCCTGCAGACCTGCTTCAGATTCACTTGGGTATTTGAGGATAAATCACACCCACTTGCAGTTTCTGGAAAGCACTAAAAATACAGCCACCGAGAAGTTACTAAACAGCTTAAAAGACAGCATAAGGACTTCCAGTAAGTTCATGGAAAAAGCATTTAAATTTACATTTAGAAGAATATTTATTATCAGGAAATCTTACATGCACTCATATGTTCACAGATAAACTTCACCAAGTGTATATGTATGCGGTGTGATCAAAATACATGGTGAGAGTTTAAATTTCAAAATATATTACAGTAAAAGACATACTGCCATCAGTCCCACTCAGAATACACTCCTTCACTTTGTAAGCACTTAGCCTAGTGTTCTTGAGACTTTCTGAAGTCCTCTCTCCCAAGTATCTTTACGTGGTGTGATCAAAAACGTGGTAAATGCTGTGCCATCCAACAGAGACAGGCTTGTAGAAACATTACAGCGTGTCCTCAACCACCTTAGTCACCAGAACTGGCGTTGTACAGCTTCTGGCTCTTAATCAAAGTTAATGTTTTGGATTGATTCCAGATATCAAGATATCCATGATAGCATAACTAAAGACATAAAAGAGGACTTCTAGAACTGCTTCCACAATGGCGAGAGCCATGAGATAAGTATTTTCAAAGTTAGGGAGAGTATTCTGGGGGGAATTAATGTTAATGTGTCTTTTATCATAATAATTTTTTAAAATTTAAACATCACTATAGTTTTCGATCACACCACATGCTTAGACAATATGGGCCAGATGAATATGTGATATAACACTGTCCTCAGAAGCCATATTATGAGAATTGCTAGTTATAAGAAGGATTAAATTCATCAAATGCTTTTTTATTATTATGTATTTAGTTATTACAAAATACTATCTCCTCTTAGAGAAACTTTGAAAGATTTTTGTGTAAAGCAGTGTGGTATTTAACAACCAGATATAATCTTCAAAAAAATACCTATTTACCTGGGCATTCGTTAACTTTTCCAAATCTCAGTTTTTTTCCATAAATTGGGGATAATATAGAGTTGCCATAAGTTAAATGAAAACACTTAATCAGAATAACCATTCGACAAATGTTAGAAACTACACCTCTTCTCTTGGAAAAGAATTTCAGTGCAAATCTGCGGAGAGTTGGCTCTGTAAAGAGGAAGGAACTTCCTCTGACTAGTAAACTGCTTCTTGTCCTTCTTTGGTAAAAGATTTTCTTTTCTAATAAACGTGACAGATACTTTCCCTATGTCTTGTTTACTCCCATTTTTTATTAGTGCATACAAATTAACGGGTTTCACTCGGGCAGATTTGTACATGCACACAACAGAGGTTAGTCAATTCTCTTCCATCACCCCTCTTGCCCACCTCCCCTCCAGTTTTACATGTTTTGGGGGGTGGGGATATTAATGTGAATAATGTATTTTAATCACACTTAAAGCATGTGTATCAATCTTGGGTGTTTTTGGACCACCATTGCTAATCCTTTGATGATAGCTTAAGAATGTTCTTCTATTGTAATAATGTTTACTTCATTAAATTTCTTAAGAAGATCATCTTTAAAAAGTAAAAATTGCATGTGACTAAAGGAAAAATTGGAAACAGAGTCTTTGTAAATAGGAAGGGGTGAAGAGGGTGAAGGGAGGGCAGGGGTATGGGGAAAAAATAAAAACCAACAGACATATCATGTAAAGGTACAAGATCCCAGTGATAAATGTAACTGTCCTGTTTGCTTTAAAAGTTCCATTAAACTTAATGGAGGGAAAAAAAGTAAAAATTGGGATTATATCAGTTAAATGAAGGAAAATCATAGGCCTTAATTTTTACACAGTGTCAGAATGCGGTATCAGAATATAACTTCATAATGAGCAGTTACATAGAAGCTTCATTAGTGACCTGATTTTTCACATATTTACCACAACCTTAAAAAAAACAAGTAAATGTGTACCTCTGATCCAAATGGGCAAAAATAACCTAACATGGCAATAAATTTATTAATTTTACATACAGAATGCCAACCATACCATTTTTTATATTATACTGTTAGGACCTTGGGCAATAGGTCAAGAGACAGAATGTTCTAAAAAATAAATTTTAAAAATTGGTGAGAATCGTGTTCTTTTTCCAGAAGACATTTTATTGTGCTGAATCAAAGGTGGCTTTCTGGCATTGAGTGGCTCCATGGAGTTTTCCAAGTCCTCCTTCCCTGATCCTGTGCTTGGCTGGATTGCGGCTGACAGTCATCAACTTGTTTGGATTTCATACTGTATTATATACCTTCATGTAGTTACCGCCACCAAGCAGTTGAGCTGATTATGTCCCGCCTTTCTGTTGATAATTTTGTTTAAACCTATGTTCCTGTTTAGTTTATGTAAATCCTGGAAACGAATTGTGTTGGTGAACAGGAACGTAGAAGAGAATGCTATTAGAAACTGGGCCACGTTTACATCCTGACCTTTGCATGTGTTTGACAAATCACCTTTGCCTCTTTTCTTTTGTGAAGTGACAAGAAGCCACATACCCAAATAGATGTGAAACCCCAGGTCACTTGGAGACAAGGCAGACAGGAGTGTGGTGACTACTATGTACCTGCAAGCTAACTTGATTGCTTCCTTAACTGCCACCACAAGGGACTTCTACAGGATTCACTAGATGCAGAACACTTGTATTTATTTATAGCTGGCATTATCCAAAATGTTACTTTTAATTCGTTTCATTCAAGTCAAGCTACCTCTGGTTAACTTTTTATTAAATCGCCTTCTCTTTTAACTTTCTCCTTGCTTTTCATGTCACTTCTGTTTTCCGTAGCGTAGCAGACGTATCAGAAGCTCAAACCCTAAAGGCCATCCTAAACTTCTCTTTCTCTCTGTCTTTCAAGTAACCATATCCTGTGAATTCTTCCCTTAATGTCCCTGAAATCTCTTTTCTTATTTGTTCCTTTTCCTCCTTTCTTCCCTCCCTCCTTCATTTGTTCCTTCCTTCCTGTTTTTCTTTCCTCCTTCACTTCCTCCTTCTCCTCTTCATCCTCCCTTTTCTTCTTTTTCTGTTTCTACTTTTCAAGTCTTGGCCCTGCCGTCTGCACCTTGGCAGCAGCCTCCCTAAGTCTCCTCACCTTTTCCCCCATCCTACTGTTATTAGATTCATCTTGAGCAACTACTGCATCAACTATAACTGCATACTCTGCTGCCACTGTGCAGAAAATAACATCTACTCTGGACTCAACCTGCCTTTCCAGACTTGGCCACAGCAGCCTACTCTGCCTGTGACAGTATCTTCACCTTTGTCTTTTTCCTGGGGCTTCATGTACAACATTTCCTAAGCTCTTCTTCCTTCCGTTCCTAAGACTCTTCTCGATACCTCACAGCTTATAATGATCTAATTTCTTGAAGTAGTTCTGCTAATTGTAATCAATTCTGAACTAACTACTCCTTAACATAGTGTGCGGGTAGTTGTCTTCAAAAGAAACTCAATTATGTCATGGTTTTTACATTTCACTTGGTACCTGGTATCCTTATCCACATTGCTGGGTTTTACTTTAAAGCCAGAAATTTAATCATCTCAATTTTGTTATTCCTAGAGCAGTAATTCTCAGCCTTTGGCGTGGTAAACACTGGAAAAGTAGGTTAAAATTCTTTGGGGCCCCACCACAGAGATACCAGATCAAAGGTAGCCTACATATCTGTTACAAATGAGTCCCGGGGGATGCTACTGCTGCTGCCTTTCAGCTTCTTCCGCAGCACTGGTGTATGAGTCCAATCTATGTGTATGAATGCAGAATTTGTGACTTCTCTCTTCTACTATTTCCACTCATTCTGTAACTTCTTTCTTTTAGATTGACTTTGAAGATGTGATTGCAGAACCAGAAGGGACACACAGTTTTGACGGCATCTGGAAAGCCAGCTTTACCACCTTCACTGTGACGAAATACTGGTTTTACCGCTTGCTCTCCACCCTCTTTGGCATCCCAATGGCACTCATCTGGGGCATTTACTTTGCCATTCTCTCTTTCCTGCACATCTGGGCAGTTGTACCGTGCATTAAGAGCTTCCTAATTGAGATTCAGTGCATCAGCCGTGTCTATTCCATCTACGTCCACACCTTCTGTGACCCACTCTTTGAAGCCATTGGCAAAATATTCAGCAATATCCGCATCAACATGCAGAAAGAGATATAAATGACATTTCCAGGATAGGAGTATTCCTTTTAATTTTCTTGGTGCCAATTCCGAGTTTCAAGTTGCTAGTACAGCAACAGTTCATGAATGATTTATCTTGGTTCAGAACAAAGAAATCACTTTCTCAGTTTGCGTAACTATTATTTGTCTCTTCTGAGCTATTTCATCTATTTTTGGTGGTATGAATTTTTTAAACCCATTCCAATTTTTTCTTATCTTTTGATTTGTATGGAGATCATTGTTTTACTGGCTGAGATATAAACATATTGTTGAAAGATAATATGGGAGAAATATGAAAAACTGAGGAGAAAAAAGAGAACCAATAACTTCAGTTGCCTACTCTAAAATGTTGATCATTTTATAGAAAGTGAAGATTCCAGGCTATGGTCATGGCTGGATAAGTATGTGGGAAGATTTTAAGCAAACATATTCCCCATCATCTGAGGAGTTAGTGAATTGCTGCCATTTTCCTTAATAATCCTTATGAAGTTAGAAAGAATAATCTTCTGCATTCAAATGACCCCACTAACGCCTTACTCTTCTTAAAATTTTAACAAAAACTATGACATTTTCTGTGCCTGGATATGTTATATAGACAATGAGACCTAAGTGCCTTCCTATTTTCCAGACTTGCCTTTTCAAACAGGGTCTAACTCATCAACGTTCATTAAGTCAATAGCTTCCTTGAAGATCACAATTAGGAAATCAGCTACCTAGCTCCCTGTACTTGTTTCTGACTCTGGGAAACAGAATCTGGTGAAGCTCATATCTGTGCTTGATTGTGTAATATCTTTATCCACACTGATTATGGTCCACATCAGCCCAATGAAATAAATTAAAGTGGACGAATGGGGCTGAGCCCTCTCTGGGCTGGCAGGAGTGGAAGCCAACTTTTTCTGCCTCTCATCAGCGGAATGAGGGCAACATGTCTATTCAGCTTCATTTATTTTCAAAAATAATCACACGCTTTCCTGAATCCAAACCAATCTATCACAGGGGTGGTTTAGTGGCTCAATATCGTGTTCCCATTTCCGTTCATCAGTGGGCCTCCAGGGAAGGGCTGTCAAAATGGAGGCCGCTGTGTGAGGCTGTCAGAGTTGTTGCAATCACGACCCCTTCTAAGTGGAGCACTTGGGAGCATCTGCTATGCTGTGACACTCGGCCTTCCCACTGCCAGGAGCCTTGAACCTAATCCAAGCATCATTTGCTCAGAGAGATGGGGGAGGAGGCAGTAATAAAAAATTGAAGTAATTTTGCTGGAATAAGTTCAAGTGCTTCTGAACTCAAACTGAGGAATTTCGTCTGTAAACCTGAGTCATACAGAAAGCTGCCTGGTACATCCAAAAGCTTTTTATTCCTCTTGCTCATATTGTGATTGTGCCCTTGGAAACCTTTTTAAACCTCCAGTTATGCTTTTATTTTTATTTTCATACACTTATGGAACTCTGCTTGATTTTTTGGGGGGGGGCCTCCTCTGGTTTTCCTGACACTTTATCAGTCTATTACTACTTTGATTGTTTGCATTTGAAACAGACACTGGCACGGACATAGTTTCCCTTTCAAACTGTGTTCATAACCGAAAATGTACCATACTGCATACTTTTTAATGTAAGGATATTTTTATCTTTATATTAAAAATCACTTGGGAAATAATTTTATGACTCAGTCTGTAAAATATGTATCCCAAGATATGTCTGTTCTACCTAGATGCTTAGTTTCTCATGCAAGTCAATTGCTGGTCCAGAAGACTGCTGAAATTTTATATGCTTACTGATATATTTTACACTTTTTTATCTGCATGGCCTATAAAGGTTATAAATCCGCACAATAAAAATGTTTAATGGTTAAACAGTCTGCTTTATTTTCCCCCAAACATGTTATGTATGTGTTAGTAGGTGTGTCTGTGTTTGTGTGTAGTGAGCATGTGTACAGTGTGTCTGTACACATCTTTGCAGTGTGTTTGGGGGTGGGTGGGTAATGATTTTCTATTTCCAGTTCTTCCAAAGTCATTTGGAGGGGGAATCTTCCTGAGAAGGTTATTTCCATTCATGTGTTATTTCAGATAAACTGTAACAAATAACAAAGGTTTTTTTGTAGTTTATGTTTTATTATCTAGTATGAGCCCCCAACAAGCTTGTGTGATACGTATTAATACTGTCATTTGATCAATGACACAATTTGCATCCAAGAGGTAGTGCCTTGGACTTAGCCATGCTTTAAGTAGGATTTTTAACAGGTAAAAATTTATTTCTGTCCTTGGATAGGTTTATATTCAGCCCTTCTGTACTAGTCAAAATTGTCTTGAGAAATAAAACCCACAGGAAGAGGCGGGGAGGAGATAAAAAAAATCGCAAAAGGCTTATTATAAGGACTTCATAATTATGGAAGCTGACAAGTTCTAATGCCTGCAGAGTGATCCATCAAGCCAGAGAGGCAGGAGAACCAAAATGTAATTCCAGGCCATAGCTAGTTCAATGACGATCCAAGAAAATCTAGCACATATTCCACTTTGAATCCAATGATGACAGGAAAGAAGTGTCCCAGTTAGCAGGCAGTCAAGCAGAAGGAATTTTATCTGACTGGGGGGAGGACCAGCCTTTTGTTTTACTCAGACTTTCAACTAACGAGAATTAAGCCCACCCACATTAGGGAGTGCTTTCTGCTTTACTCAGTCTACCAATTTAAATGTTAATCTCAAGCAAAAGTAGCCTCAGTGGAAAAAACTCAGAATAACATTGGACCAAACATCTGGACATCTATCTATTGGCCCAGTCAGATTGACATATAAAATTAACCATTTTCATCACAGTTTCCAAACGAAATTTTGCAAAGATCTTCTAATTTCTCCTGCCCTGAAATTCATTTCATGCTGTTTACAGAGTTTCTCACTTTGCTGAGGTTCCAAAAAAGCACTAAAACTGCTGGAATCATAACTCTGGGACTTTTCCCTCTACAAATCTGCTTCCAGTGTGCACTTGGAGAGCATCTCTAAGCATGGCCACACTTGAGATCCTTGATGAAGTGGCACCTCCCATTCAAGCAGAATAAGTGAAGTGCCTTTAGTCAAAGATTGTCTTTCTTTTGGTTTTATTATCTGAATCTCTAAATCAGTACATATTAACAAAATCAGGGCTTTATTTATATTTTGGTTCAGCTACACACATGAAACAGCTCCATCTCTGCACATACATAGGGCTACACAGGTGGTTTGGGAGGACTTTGACTCCACATCACCACCAAACGGTGTCATACATCACACACGGAGCGGATGCAAGTTACACAGTAATGTGCATCTGCTCCATGGGCTGGGGCTCTTTCTAAAGAGCTGACTCACACCTCCCCAGGTATGAGTGTTGATAGTCAAATTTTCTGATCTTTAAATTATCCATATATGGGCCAGGGATTTAGCCCAGTGGTGCCACAGCCTGCCTTGCAAGGGCAAAGACCTGAATTCAGTCCCCGGTACAAAAAAAAAAATCCATATTCATAAAATTGGAGTGGGAGAAGAAAAAGACACCCTTTACATAACACCAAAAAAACAGAACCATAAAAGATTAATTTTCATGAATATATTAAAGATTTTAGACTTCTATATCTCAAAAACAGTAGAAACAAATGCAAGTGATAAAAGTGCTAAAAGAAAGCATTTGTTAGATATAGGCAGACATAGCATTGTTAGATTAGACACCCTTGCTATAAATCAGTGATTTTCATAAGTTTCTAAGAATGATACTAATTTTAAATGTAGAATATTTTCATGTGTATTTTGATTGCCATCTATCTATATTGCTGAGCATTACTTATTCTCAGTTGAAACTCATTTTGCTTTCTATTTGTGAGCATTACCACCAACTGCATATTTTGGTGTCCCGATTCAGCTCCCAGATCCAGAGACTGGACTCCATGGATTCGCAATCTTGGCTTTGGAAATTATTGGCTGGGTAGATTGTGTGACTCCTCTGAGCCTCAGTTTCCAAATCTGTGAAGCTGGGATGACAGTGATGGTGCATACGATATGAGGTTATTGAGAAGGTTGCATACACTAGCATATCTGAAATGTATGGACTTGGGACCCAAAGGCTGTTGTAAGTTTTAACTACCAATACGTAACTGTTTTTGCTGAAGTTTAATGTGGCTTACCTGGGCCACACTAGAGAAAAAGAGAGGTCTTGAGCCACATACAAAATATCTAATATAGTTAAAATGTATAAAATTTTATTATTATATTTTATTATAACATTTAAAAGGGCAACCTAAAAGCTAGCAGGATAGTTTGCCTTCTTTTTGTGAAATGAACACATCAGTGTCTGCTTTGATGGAAGTGTTTGCAACTCTTAGTTCTCAAGATGTTGGTGAGGACTGTTTCATCTAATTTTACTTTTGTAAGCTCTACGCTTGAAAACTGTTGTTTACAAAGGTACATACTGCCAAAACATGATGACATGAATAAGGCACGACTGTGAAGCAAGGGACAACCTTCTCTGGGAAGGCAGGTCTTTTAAATAGAGGACCAGGGGTTTAGCTCAGTGGTGCCACCGCCTGCCTCACAAGCGCAAGGTCTTGAGTCCAATCCCTGGTACCAAAAACAACAACAACAAAAAGTCTAATAGAGACATGATCAAAATTTTCAGTGAGTTGAATGTCTGACTGCAACTCTAAAAATTAATAATAAGCACTCATTTATTTTTCTAATATTAACAACATTATATATGTAACTAGAACAATATCATAAGCAAAAAACAATTTGGTATATTTTTATGTTCTGTGTGTACTATAGCTGCTAAAAAACATTAACTTATGTTAACTTATTAAATTCTTCCATGAAATGACACAACAAGCAAGCCCAAATTTAATAAGCTAATAAAACTTCCATACCTTTAGTAACAATAAACACCGGTCTTCACAGGTGCATGCACGTAGCAGGAGTTGAGATACTATTATTGGTAATTGCTGCATTTTGCTTTCCAAGTCGTGTGAGCACATGTAACATCTGACCCATCCAACTTTTAATCTGACTATGTGTGGTGAGCACAGGAGGCAGGGTTAGCGCTGCTCTATGCCCTCTGTTGTCACTTCTATAGTC